AAAAAAAACAGCGAGAGTAGGTCGAAGGAAAGGGATAGGAAAGAGGAAAAATAGTTTAGTTTAATAATCAGGAATAGAATCGTAATTGTACGACGTTTGGTCAGATCGACTGTCGGGAATCCTGTACTTTTCTTCTGGTTGATCGGCGTCCTGTTCATACTTGACTTGAGCAAAGTACATGTTGTAGTCAGGGTAATCTGGAAAATTAAAAATAAAACGGAGAGTAAATATACATGGCTACGACAAGCGAGCAAAAGTAAAACCATCAGTTACAAACCATCAAGTGGCTCCTCCTTGATCCTAATGGCATCTTTGTTGTCTTCGTCAAGAGGATGGTTACGTTCGGGCCTGTCTTTGAGATCTTTACGCTCGCGACGATCGCGGTCCCGATCACGCTCCCGATCACGCTTGTCTCGCCTGCGCTCGCGCTCCGAAAATCGCTCACGCTCGACACTTCTAGAACGCCGGCGCTTACGATCTCTGTCGCGTTCGCGACGTTCTCGAGGACGTTCAATCTCCTCGATCTCGGGCTCTGGCACCCGCTCGCGGCTTCGCCGACGCTTGCGATCACGTGACCTGCTCCTTGAACGGCGTTTTCTTTCCCGGGACCTTCTGCGTTCTCTTTCGATTCGATCTCGATCCCTGAAACGATTGTTGTCTTTGTTGTAGTACTTGTCTGTCTGTCTCTCTAGAATTAGTACAGCATTATCAACTTACCTGTCTCTGTCTGCGCCGCGGACGGCCTCGCGCTCGCGCTCTAGCCTGTAACGTTCACGTTCCCGTTCATTGTCCTCCCGACCCGAGTGCTTGATGTTGACATCGGGGCCTCCGCGGCGCGTACCACCTAATCCTCCCCCAAGCCGTCGTGGCAGCCAGCCCTTGACCGTTCGAGCCCTCTCCACGTCCACCAACACTCGGCGACCATCTATTTTCTTACCATCGGCATGCTTATAAGCGGCTAAAATGGTACCAATTTAACACTTAGTTTTTATATGATTCGTCGACAACAACCACAAATCCCACCCTCTTATCGCATTACATAGAAAGTATAAGTTACCTACATACGCATACATTCACACAATACTTAAATTCTATGTAACATCATTATTATATAAAATCACATAATTTTGTTTCCCTTCTACCCGCAATATTTGTTTATGGCCTAGTGAGAGAGACCCTAATATATTATCATCATTATTACAGCCCTATGTATAATTTACTATCGCGTGAACTTTTTTAGTTGGTTGATTCCATGCTTTTTTTTTTTTAATCTTGACTATGATATTTACTTCTCTCAAAATCTCATTACTTTGCAATTGATCAAATAGTTTTATTTTTCTATTTAAAAGGAAAAATAAAGCTAATGAAATTTTAAATTATTTTCATATAATATATGTATATAGATATATAAAATTCATTTACAACTTAACGAGTTTTATTTATCTTTCCTGTTACATCATAGATTGTTATCAAGTAAATACCAATTCAATTAATTATTTATTTATCATCGTTATCATTTTTCTTTTTTATATAGGCACACTTAAAGTAATATTATTATTGTCATAATTATTATCATGTTTATGGTTACTACCAATATTAATTCCAATAATTCCAAAACACCCTTGAATACACTTGCTTTTCTCGTATCTCTTGATGTTTTTTTTACACTACGTATACAACAAGCTGTTTATTTTGTATCATTATTTTTTTTCAATACACCACATGCTTATTCCCGTAGAATTGCAAGAATATTACTTTTACACACTTTTTTGGGCTGTAAGTATGGGACCGCGTTGACGTTCAGTTTAACAACAGAAAATGTTCAGAAAGTTTTGAGATAGTTCAATAATAACCGGACAACTTGGACCCTTGCAAGCATTATAATCAGATGACAGAGCAACTAGGTAGTTTCAAATAATATCCATTGAGAATATTGTTTAGTGAAAGTAAAATTTTTTTTCCATGTACCTTAAAACTACATGCTGCTGATTACATCGGCAGAGTGAACTTGAACGTTTGTTGAAAAGATGTCCAACCTTGTTTTCATTCACAGGTAGTCCAAAGACCATTTATTTTTATGATTACCTGGTGCGCTTTATTAATTTACTTTTACTTACGGTTCCTTTTTACTCTTACCGTGCGATTATCATTATTTTATAGCGCGTATTACACCTTGATTAGATTTTATTCAATTATCAGCTTAAAATTTTCAAATTGTTGTTTCAGTTACTGTGCATTTTTGTTATGTAAAGTGTGCATAAACCTTTTGCAAAAAGCATAACTCGAAATAAAATCAAAATATACTCTACATTTTCAACATCGGTATTCTTAATTGAAATTAATAACAATAAGGTTTATAAGCCAATCAATAATAAAACATTAAAGTAGAGTATTTCTCAACACAAGTTTGTGTTACATTTTCAATAAACTAAAATTTTATAGGTAAAAAATGACAAGGTAAATTTAAATGCATACGTCACTATTCGGCAATCGAGAGGAATAAGGTCCAAGTAATAAGTTTAGATTAGATTTTAAATTAGCAAAACAAAGGCGATAACTCGTTTAAGCGCTAACAAGGGTAATAATATGACTGAGCCCTAAAAATATTATTGATTCTAATACTTTTTACTTACTACCAAATGATTTCATTTTGTTGAGAACTTAATCTAGTAATTTTTTGTAGTGTTGGGCCAAATTATCACATTTTTAGAGCTCATTTGAGCATTACTTTCATTAATGTTTAGCTGGATTATCATATTTCTTAGTATGACACCAAATTATTTCCTTTATCCTCTCAACAGACGAATTTATGTCTTTATAAAGCCTTGCCATGTGAAATAAAATAAAATTTTTTTGCAAAAAATGTTGACTAGTTAGTATTTCATGACTCTAATAATATTTGTTGTATGCTGGATCTTACCACACATACAAACCTAAAATATCAGGCAGGTTCAGGGTATTTGCATGGAATAGTGAACGGCACTAGTTGCCGGCAGCAGCGGCCTGCACCACGCTGTACCAAGAACAAGATAAAAACGATATTAATAACTAGCTTGACCTTACAAAATTATGCAATCCATTATATTTAATTTCACTCGTCGGCTTATTCCTAAGGAAAAGTAAACTAAAAATTGGGTTTTCTGTATCGTTGGAAGATTAATAAGCATATGCTTCCATTTTTCATGATCTCCTAAACTCAGGTGTGCTACTTAATGATTATCAAGTTTAATAATAATAAGTTTTAAAAAACGCGATATTCAATAATGAAACTGGCCACCGTTTTTAGACTTGTGTGATTGATAATAGTATTATGTACTTACAATGCATATCACGCTCGTGTTCATATTCTATGAACGCGTAACCGCGTGGTTTTCCATTTACTGAGTTATGAACGACGACAATCTTAAAATCAAAAGAAAGAAATGGGTGTTATTGATGTGAGGTAAATTAAATCGGCATTTTTCAGGTGAACATTAAAACACAATTAGCTTGCTATCAACCTTTTTAACAGCGCCATAAACTTCGAATTCACGTCTCAATTTTGATTCCGATGTATCATAGTTCTAGAAAGAAGTGGATAAACAAATTAAAACAAATTTTGATGTATTGTCATTGCATAGACTAATTCTAGCTAATACGTTGACTTACTATTCTAGCTATAAACAGCGTTTTGAAAGGGTCCGCAGTGACGTTTGGAACACCAGCGGGATCCCAAACGGCAATTTCTTGCTCCAATTTATAGGCCACTTGTTCATTTCTTTCCCTTCTTCGACGTTCTAATCTTTCTTCACGAGTTTCAACTCGTACAGGGGGTGGTGTATTTTTGGGATCCTGGAGCAAGTAATAAAATATATTTAAACAGCAGGACAGGGAGAGTACGATATAACGCCATAAAATTATGATTGGATCTTGAGGAGGGGCTGCTTTTTACCAAGTATGACTACCATATCTCAATCTCGCTAAAGTATTCATCCTTTTTTTTTTTTTTTTTTATAGCCTATATATAAAATTAATGGCACAAGAAATATCGTACTCGTGTCCGCAGGACGACTGTATAGTGTATTAAAAAGAAAAATAATAAACATGAGCTATATTTCAACAAAGTAAGGTTAGCTACCTCAAAGTGCTCGAGGAAGGAGCCTATGCCGACATAGCCAGAAGTTTTCTTCTCATGGGGTAGTTTGTTAACTGGAGGAAGATACGGGATCGGGTCACGGGGCGCAAAAAGAGCTAGCAAGTTTGGCGGCAGGAACTGAGTCATGATGAGGGTTGCTTTCGTGCATACGTCGACGTCGAACGTATGACGGACTCAAAAGTATCTTCACTTATTTCCAAATCGCACTTCAACGACGTAGATGTGCACAATAACTCTCTTGAGTATACTTTAACCTACGATAAAACGAATACTTTCAGTATTCGGACGCTGATGTCCTTTGATGGACGCAAATCACCACGCGATCAAACACGACGACGCGACCTCGATCCCCTCGATATGGCCCTCAAATAATCGATACCAACAATAAAATATACGCACGCATTTTTATTACGCTTAGATTAAGCGGTAACACTTTACAAATAAGTATTTGTGGTTCAAAAATATGATCTTTACTGACGCGCACTTGATCACAACACAGGATGAGTATTCATTTCTCTCAATATTTTAAACCTTTGTACTTACCTTATAAGTATAGTATAGTAGCCATAGACCACATAAGCAAACAGCGTTCGGTCTTCGGTATACCGTATTCGTATACTACTTACACCAGCTTACACCAGATCGACCAGATGCAAGACAAGCGTATACTACATAGTAATAATAGACGTAGATACATATATATATATTTCTATGGTCATGGACATACGGAGTTACGGACGGAGAGAGGCGCAATGCCGCAATACAAGAGCGCAACGTCGCAGCGGTGAGCGGTGCGGCTACAGCGCCCCGATCAGTGGCCGTACCATATAACTTTTTTTCGCTTCGGGGGCCAGTGTTATAACATAGGCCGATGTACAGAAAAATAGTTACATGGTATGGTCCCAGGAGTCGTACCAAATAACTTTTCTCCGCTTTGCGGACCTATGTTAAAAGACCCAGAAATTATCTTTGGCTTGCCGAAGGGTTCCTTACGGCCCGTGTTCTGGGACCGTACCATGTAACTATTTTTCTGTACATTGGCCTATGTTATAACACTGGCCCCCGAAGCGAAAAAAAGTTATATGGTACGGCCACTGCGACTGAAGACTGACCAGACCACCTTTAACCACCTTTGGCATAGAGGGTATTCCAAAAGATAGGGGAACGCGGGCGCACACTTTTGGAGCGTTCGAAAAGCGAGTCGAAAAGCTAAAATTGCGTGCGCCTGAACTGCTCTAACTTATAAGAGGATACACATTGTGAAGGGAGATTTATAAAACCAAAATGCATATATATATATCATCGCTCGTAAGCTCAGACATGGGGTTTTTTTACACATGTATAGTGTTAATTAGCCATCGGTACACCTGAGTTATGACCAGATATTTATGCATATATATATATATATATATAAATGTATTAGATATTGTATATATATAGGTTATTTAAATTAAATTAAAGTTTTTGTTTATAAAGGATCCTTCACAGTAATATTGTCAGACTCATCACACAAGTCAGCTAAAATCTCTTCAGCCGATAACAAATCTGCACTTTAGACGCGCGCCTGCGATTTTTAGCTTTTGGAACGCTCCAAGGGGAGGGCTGGCGCTGGCTGTGACTTTAACACAGAGTTTTATGGAAATGGGGGTATGGTGTCACCGGTGGTTGCCACGGGTACTATTTGCTTCCATAAGATTTAACATGGGTTGGGGGTATTGGCCAGGTGCATGTCATGCAGCACCACCCTTGGTGTCAAAATCGTGCAACCGCGGGTACCCACATTCCCACATTATACGTCAACAGCATACACCGATGCACACTTTTAGGAATAATTAATTAATTAGAAAAAAATTAGTGTATTTATTCATCTGATAATGGATGTTATCATAAAAACAGGCTTTAGGAATATAACACACTCGACTTGTTTTAACTCTGAAGCCTTAAAAAAAGGTAAACAGTTGGTTGAAAGTAGTCATGTGTGCGATGTCACAGAATTAACAAATCAAACGAACTTACCTGTAAGTGAAGTTCGATTGTAATTATACGAAGACAACGAAGAGCCTCGTTCGAAGAGATTACTATGTAGTCACCCTTTCGCCCGCCAGAGGTCACAACTTTAGAGCTAAAAGAAAAGGAAAAGGTTCTGGCTGTATATGTATATTTCATGCCAATAAAGATACTATCTATCTAAAGAAAAAGGTAGGGAAGGGGGAAGTATGCCCCCTCTAGTCTATACGCGAGGCGTTCTCTCTTCATAAGTTTAGAGATGAGAGCCTTAAAATTTGCTACAACACTATGGGTGGGAAGTTGGCTCGAATGCAATTCGAATCCGACTGCCTTTGCAATCAAGGGTGGGAACGTAATCTCTTCGAACGAGGCTCTTCGTATAATTACAATCGAACTTCACTTACAGGTAAGTTCGTTTGATTTGTTAATTATACTACAGTCGCCTCGTTCTCGAGATTACTATGTAGTTTTTCAGAGTAGGAGCAAATTTTAAGAGAATAAACTAAGAGGAAACGTCTTTATTTTCAGGGATGTTTATTGACAATCCAATTTACAAAAAACGATATATCAATTGTTGGAAAATACTTTAGACGCAAACTCGTAATTATCCGGCATCACTGGTCGGTTATAAAATCTCGCAAACACTTGTGAATCGTCCGACCAGCCAGTCGTTCTCCTTATCGTATCAATGCTTACACCAGCTTTAAAGGCCGCTGAAGACGCATGACGCGTAGAATGGCCTGCGAATACAGCTGTGTTTATACCACTCTTGTCCATGACCGTTTTCAACCATCTACTTATTGACTGAGATGAGGCTGCCCCATGTGGTTTCTTAATTGTAATTAAGAGGAACTCTGCCTCATTTCTCAAATCTTTAGTTGTTTTCAGATAACAATCTAGGGCGGATGCCACACACAAACTAGGTTCTTTTGTAAATCTAGGTATGGCCAATAAAGGTTGAAAGCGGCCTGGACCCGACGTCTTTATCTTATCTTCTATCTTAATTTCTAAGCCTTTGGGCGTATTATAAATATTGGAAATTTTTATTTTTGATAACGTTTGGGCTCTATGGGCCGTATTTAGCGCTAACAACATGACAGTCTTGTATGTCAGAGTCTCCAGGCTAAGGCTGTCTAAGGGAAACAAAGGATGCAAAAAATTGAGCACGATGGAGGCGTCCCATGTGTGGGTATACTTGGGCCTCGATGGCCGCAATGAGAAAGCTCTCTTTAAAAATCTCGCGACTACCTGATCACGTCCTAAGCTTGCCTCTGAGATGAGGGAGATATCTGACCTAGCTGAATTCAAGGTCCCATAACTAAACACCTTTGCAAAAAAGATCTGATAGGTAACTTAAAAGGCTAGCCCTATTTGGAGACAAAACATCTAAGTTATTCTTATCACAGTACTCGCTCCAGTTCCTCAGGGTAGTGCTGTACGAGGGTGGATTGATAAGTTTCCGGCCTGGCCAAGAAAAACAACGTTTTTAAGAATTTTTTTTTTATTTCTCAACATAATCTCCTCCAAGGCTGATACATTTCTCATAGCGGTATTTTAGTCTAGTAATGCCATCTCTATAGACTGATTCGTCAAGCTCCTCAAAATACCCTTTTACAGCTTCGATTACTTCTTCATTGTCCGCAAATATCTTACCGCCAAGCCATTTTTTGAGGTTAGGAAACAGAAAATAGTCACTTGGGGCTAGGTCTGGAGAGTAGGGAGGGTGCGGCATCAATTCAAACTTCAGATCGTTGATTTTTGCCATCACAACGATTGACGTGTGCGCTGGTGCGTTATCGTGATGAAACAAGATTTTTTTCTTCGCCAGATGAGGTCGTTTAATTTTCACTTCGTGGCTCAAACGTTGCAATAAGTCTGCGTAGTATTGACCAGTGGTAGTTTTACCCTTTTCAAGGTAATCAATGTATATAATACCTCTTGCGTTCCAAAAAACAGTAGCCATAACCTTGTTCGCCGAAAAAAATTGTTTTTACCTTCTTTGGAGTTGGTTCCCCTGGTCCAATCCACTGTTTAGACTGTTCTTTGGTTTCAGGAGTGTAGTGGTGGACCCAAGTTTCGTCAACGGTTACGAATCGACGCAAAAATTCGCTTGGATTACGCTTATACAACGCCAAATTGGCGGTAGAAATGTTCTTTCGAATCAATTTTTGGTCGACTGTTAGCAAACGCGGCACCCACCTTGCACAGAGCTTTTCCATGTACAAATGTTGGTGCAAAACATTTTGTACACGTTCATATGACATCTTACAGGTCTCAGCTATCTCACGCACTTTTAATCTGCAGCTCATCAGAGGTGCTCACACGACCTTTTTTAAACTCGGAAACCCACTGCTTAACGGTTGAATATGATGGGAAGGATGTCCCCAGTGTTGAGTCCATCTCTTCTTTAATTTCCTTCGGCTTTACCCCTTCAAAAAAAAGTATTTGATGACAGCACGATTTTCCAGCTTTTCCATTTTTACGAAAAACACACGTGCTCTCAAACCTAAACTAGTCTACTTTGCACATGAACGAGTCTCTGGAAACTAGTCTAGTGGCCGTTCTCAGATCTTCTAGTTTGAAGTGTTGTGTAAAGATAAACTTATTTAAAGATTTTAAATTTAAAACAAATCGAAAAGATCCATCCGGTTTTGGTACCAAAAAATAACTTGAAAAGAATCGACCTTCTGAAGATTCGACCGGTTCGATAGCTCCCTTTGTGAGGAGTTTATGAATCTCTTTCCCAACTTGGAGACCTTCCGCTCGAGAAAAACTAGTTAACGGAGAGTATCTTTGAACCACCAGCTTGCTAAATTTTAGTCTAAGACCTGAGACATACTCTTAAACTACTTTATCAGTCGTGATACGTTTCCATTCATTTAGAAATAATCGCAATCTACCTGCGCAGGAACCTACGTTTTCTAACGTGGGGGGGTAAAATTGTTCTGCTGCTTCCTCTAGAACTGCGCCCCTCCGTTGAATGGTTGGTTGCGGGGTATGTTCCGGTATTCTAGACGCTGGTTGAAGCTCTCTCGATGAAACTGTTGCTGTCTGCCCGCCGAAGGGGGAAGCGTCTTCCTTCGGAGGGTATTGGAGTTTAAATGTGAGCGTTGAGCAAGCGGCTGTCGAAGATTTTTGGTCGCAGACTTGCTTAGAGATTTGGAGATCCTCTCTATCTTCTGAGCCTCTTTCTCTCCCAATTTGTCACCGAACAGTCATTTGTCCGATTTGGTATTGGCTAGCATGTCTTTAACGTCTTTTTCCAGTCCAGAAAAAATAAACGCTTTACGAGACTTGTTTTGGCTAAACATCAAATCCGAAATGAGCTTGGCTGCGGCGCTTTGTTTCTCGATGCAGTCCAAGCGATCGATACCTTCTGTCTCCCTAACGAGACTAGAGAGCACCGCGCCTAAGGCGTTCAGAGAAGCCCCCGCTGCCTGCTGTCTTTTTAGCATAGCAGCGTCCCTGTTTTTTGCGTTCGCCTGTAGTTGAGATGCAAGCTCCTAAAAAGCGAATTACCTGTCTGAGACAATGCCAAAGTCCCACTAAAGTCCCTGTATAGAGGTAGCGTATTACTTACAGGGTTGATTTCCGGTGGCTGTAGATCCGAAGGTGAGCCGTATTTGGCCAGTAAGTCATCCCTGGCTTTGTCTCCCAACCCCTCGTGGAACCAGAATTGCCATCTCGTTGACAGAGACGGAAGAATGGACATGGGCAGTGTCTT